CCTGGCTGGGTCTCTGCTCAGAGCTGTCTAAATTCTGCTGTACTTCCTACACTTAGGGACTTTTTGCAAATCTACTTAAATGATTGCCCATGGACCAGGAGATCGCAGATCCCACATAGGCCAAATGATTATTTCACTCTTAAAATTATTTTAACTGTTCATTTCAGCTTATCACCTTTATACTCAACTGTAAACTGAGGTATGGCAGTGTGTTTATTTTCAACAGACAGCCAGAGAGAAAAAAATACCATTTCAAAAAGTATTGATCTGCCCCACAGTGTACATAGAGGCAGGAATAAAGGAGGAATGTGGTACTTTGAGCACTGACCTACAATTGCTGTGATGCTACAAATCACATTCTTCATGCTATTAAAGTGACTCCCATCTCACAATTTTGCTGGACACTCTTGTCAGTCACAGCACCAGTAACACTTCGTATCACATTTACATGGACTTTTCTCTGTACCAGACAGTACACATCTTGAGAGCTGCAGTCATCAATCTTACTCACCTTTTGAAAATCACCAAAGCCTGTGCACAGTAGAGATTAGGTGTCTGATACGGCCATCTTAATAAGCGAAAAGAGTAACCTGGTTGCTGACCAGGCAACCACTTCACAGGACTTCATCCCTGCAGAAGTCTCTATACTTAAGTTTAAAATTTATGTATCTTCACAGGCAAGTCTTTGTTTTTCCTAAAGTCTACTTCTCTTACTAGGTTAATTCCAAAGATTTCAGCTCATGGCAGAAAGAAATATTCAAAGTAGCTTATATACCTTATCAATAACCACTGAGGTTCATGTCTCTTTCCACTAACATGGGCTAGGGATTTAGCTCAGTAGCACAGTGCTTGCCTGGCAAGCAAAAGGTCGTGAGTTGGATTCCTGGTACTGGAAAAAAAAAAAAAAGAAAAACCAAACAAACAGAAAAAATGGATCTTTCCACTAGCATGTGGCTTAATTATCTTTGAATCCCTAATGACGTCCAGTTTCTGGTACCTAACTCACAAATATTTGTTGAATGAGTTATATTTAAGCTACCACAAGTTTGCCAGAATCTCACAATTAATGGGAAAAAAAGCTCCAATGCAAAACATTTTAATGGGTTGTCAAATATACAGTTATTAGAATTATCTAAATATTACTTATAAAAATTGGTATACCACATTAGATGATTCTATAAAACACAAATTACACATTGACAATAACCCCTGCAGTCCAAGAATATCCATCAACAGTACAAATTACAAACACACTAAAAACAGGAAAAAAAAAAAACTAAAGACATTAGACGTGACTAAATACATTCATTCATGAAATTTAAAAAAAATAGTATCACTGCATATAGACACTAATAACATAATTTTAGGTGCAATTTCACATGCTTTCATTAATCTTCCAGTACAATTCCCATGTAAAGTGTCTTTGTGCACACCATGTTTATTTATATGCAGGTGCATCATACATCATAAAGACTGTTTAACTTCATAATTAAATTGTTTATATTGTATGTGAACACCAGGCCAAAATTAAACCTCAATAACAAAATTTAAAAATTTAAATTACTGAAAGTATATGCTAATCTGTTTAATTGTACAAACACTATTTCCTCTTATAGAGGCTATCAAAATACTCCATAACAAAAGATTGTGCCTCCAATCTTCCTAAAATATTAACACTTTAAGTTATAATCACTCTGTGAATCAAAAAGTAATTTGACATTGCCATAGTTAAAATACCAGCTATTTGAAGGTAAGATTGAGGCCCAAAATATCTGCTTGTGAATATGTAATGGAATGTTCTTCACAGTAATGTTATGTTAAACACCATTCAAAATGGGCAGACAAACGTACCTTTATCAGTAAGAAAAATTAAGGCTTTTTCATGTGATCTATAACTACAACCCAAACTCAAGAAACAAATGGAGGCTATAGTCCAGCAAAACATTACCTCTAACCTCTACCATAGTGATATTAGTTCCTCCATCCTAGTTCAACACTTGGGTTGGGGGGCGGGGGCTAAAAATGCTTGGCACGTGGCATATGTCCAATACATGCTCTGAATGAACTAAGAAGCCTGGCCTCCACAGGCAATCCTACTTGTTTCCCCAAACACTAGGTAACTGTTGCCTCTTCAGACAACCAAAGTGACAATTTTTAAAAAGAAAATGCCTTCTCAGGCTACTAGAACATTATAGAAAGTAGAAGAAAGGATAACTGAAGATACAAATTACCAAATCAAGGTCAAAGGCACTGGATAAGGAAGATAATTACAAAGCATTGTAAACAATTTTTAAAGCAAATCAACTTTTAAGTCAAATTCTAAGAGAAAATAATACTAAATGATAATACTTTTAAAAAGTGGACAAAATTTCTGTACTTTCATAATGAAATTCCGATGTTCTAGTTTTCTTTCATCCTGTATCTCAAATTCTAAAAATAAACATGCTTTTAATTCATGAAACAAGAGAACTGCAACTTAAAGAAGTGTGGAAATTAATTTTCTTCAAATGTTATAATATTTGGTAAACTTAAAACTATGACGTGAAGATCATCTTGAAATCATATATACTCAACAACATTCAGAACGAAAGTTCTTATTCAGTTGATCACAGTTTAGAGTCGCACAACAGCAAATTGTAGTGTAAAGAGGCAAAGTAGTACAAGCTTTCCAGACACATAAAGAATTATGAATACTGACTTGAAATACCACAAGCTCCATGGTAGAGCCATTTAATATACATGTTTATAAGTTTCTTGAAAAACTATTTAGATAAAATATTTAGCATTTATCATTGATTTTAATTTATTTGAATCTATGCAACTTCCATCCATATTAAAATATCAATTAATGTAAATACTTTATTATAAAACTATTTTACAATTTAAATTTTATTTCAGAAATGTATTCACATCCATAATTTCTCAAAAGTCCTTTTTATGAGTGCATTCCATAAGAAATACACAAAAAATCATTACTCATGTTTTTGAGGGAGGACTAATAATCCTACTAACTCAAACTATATCCTTATTTTGCTTATTTCTTAAACATTTACATGTTTAAATAGGATTGGCGAATAGTGATCATTCATCCCCACAGTGGCAAATTTCACCATAATCTTAAAAGACAGGATTAGGCTATAAAATAGTCACATGTAGATTACATAATAGATACTTCTTCCATTACATGTAAGCTTACTTATAAAGTAACGTAAAATTGGCATTGGATAACAGTGATTAAAAAAATGTAAACAAAAAGAATTAAATGTTAATCCCTTCCCTGAAAAACAAAAGATAAAGCACTTCTTGTTTTCTTAAAAACAAAACATGATCTATTGTATTAAAAAGGTAAGACACAGATTTTACAAAACTATACTTCCAAATACAGATGAAGAAAATCTGGAAGAGCTGATTCAGACTTTATTGAGCTAAAATATGCAAAGGATCTGATAATACTTAACTTTATTAAGAAAAAGCCTCAAGATTCAACATAGTGTTTATTATCTAAACTTACTATTGAACCACTATTGAAATAACAACAAAGGTCTATATTATAAGAAAAACCAAGTAAAACTTTAATTTTTTCCCATTAATTATGACTTGAAGTTGATTCTGATGAAAAACTGAACACAAACCCTATTGCCAATACCCATCTGCACTGTAGAGAAAAAACACGAAATCCCTATGAAAAGTACTTTACACTGATTCTAAGTAACAAAATGCGAATGGATTTTAAAGTTATTCTGACTTAATGGATTTACTAAGCACAGAATTTGTAGAGCATTTATTCGGTGGTTTGGTTTGGACTCATATATTTGCAAAGTCCCTTCAGAGAGGGTTGCGAAGGGAAAATAAACTTTAAATCTCCTCTAGATGACATAAGGTATGAAAAAAAATCTAACAATTCCCAACTCCAAAACATGAATATGGCAAATCTGTTCAACTATTTAATTATGTAGTAAATCAAAGTGGAAGTAATGACAGCCTTCACATCAAATGTATTTGCAAATTCAATTTCAAAGTTAACATCTTCAGTGACAAGTAGTTATTTTTAGAAAGGTGGTGGATGTGAAACAAAATACTTACAAATCTAATTTTTCTAGGAAAAATAACAATGCTTCTGCCCCTCATGAAATTATAATTTCTCTGTTGAATAAAATATAAAATAACTGCGAAATACAAGTATGGATATAGATAATGCACCAAACACTTTTCGATGCACTTAGTACTTTCATTAACATGTACACAACTAGATGTCATCTTTCACTGTTTAACTGAATTTGGAAAGACACTGTATCAATAAACCTTTAGACTACCGCTTAACAGAGACATATACATATATGAATTTTTTTTTTTTTCTTTCTATTCCAGACAGGGTCTTGCTACGCAGTTCAGGCTGGCCTTAAGCTCACTTTGTAGCCCAGGCTGGTCTCAAACTGGCAACAATCTCCTGTCTCAGCTTTCTGAGTGCTGGAATTACAGGCGTGCGCACCATGCCTCACTGGATATATGAACTTTAAAAGGAAAATGTTCTTAAAAATTATTTAAAGGAGAAATAAAGCAACAATTATCCACCTTCTTGAAGCCTCTGAGCAAAAGGTTATTAATGGTTATGACACTTTTCACAATATAGTAAATATCAATTCCAATTTTGCCCTAAAGAATTTAGAAGAAAAATATTTTGTTCCTTGAACATAATTTCCTCTCTTCTTCTGATCCTGCTAAGAAAATTAGCATTTTTAACATCAAGATATTTGCTGTTGTTGCTGATTTCAATTACATTTTTTACATAGTATTTTGAAATAAATAGATAAATGGTCATTAAAGGGAAATCTGCTTTTGGAATGCAACAATTCTAAATCATTTCACTAAGAAGCACCTTTTGATATGCTGGTCTGAACTTTTAATATAAAACCTAAACAGTACTTATTTCTGAAGTAGGATTTTCTCCAGTTTTAGTAACTTCATACATACCACTACTAAAGACATCAACCTGTGCTTTCTAGATTTCTGAAGGTGTTTAATAATGTAATAGGTAAGATATGGCTCATTGTCAAGGTTGGGTGGACAGAGTTCATGATAAATTGGCTACAGAGAGCTACATAAACTCTTACAACTGAATAATGGCTTGCATTTTGCTTGAGCCAAATAGATGTTGAAGCCATGTACCACCACATCCCTGCTTAACATTCCTGTTTCTTTATTCTTCATAGTTTTCTAATGAACAAATTAGTATTCCTGAGTAAGAGTATAAAAAAGATAATCTTTCTACCAAAAGTATAAAGACAAATAAAACATCAACTCACAATACAAATTTTTTACACAGCATTACAGATGCAGAGATAATGACTACTGCTCTTCAGTATAACTGGCCCACTCCTTAAAAAGACTACAGCAAAAGATTCAACTGTCTAAAATACTTCGAAGTACAGTAATTAAATTCTTTAAACCATAAATGTATCCCTCATCTATTGTGTTGCTAGGGAACACATGAGCAAAATCGATCATTCGCACTTCCACTTCTGCAACCTCTTGGCAACCAGTGGGAAGATGGTAGAAAACTTTTTCCAGTTGGGAAAGTACATTTCCATTTAAATGTTCTTGTGACATGCTTTTCCATCCATTGTCTTGCTCCATATTTTCAACTTTCAGTGAAGTCTGACTGTGATGCTTTTTTGAATACATTTTTCTGTGACGAGCATACATCTTAGATAAGTTCTTGCCTACTGAAGACTCTATTTTTCCATTCATTGTGGAACTTAACATATGGAAGTTATTATTGTACTCCAGTACTTCTGTGTCAGACAGTGGTCCTTTGGACAAGAATTTTTCTGCCAAAGTTCTGTCATTTGATTTTGTAGTGGTTGACTGAGATGAACCTTCATAAACAAATAGTAATGAACTTGCATAAAAATTAAGTTGCTTCTGGCTTTCAAACCACTGCAGAATTTTCTCAATCTTCTGAATACTGGCAGCGATAGCATCTTTTCTTAAGCTGAACCCATTATGAAAAAACTTGGAGACTCCTATAAAATAAAATTAGGGTTAGAATCAAATTATGAAATATCACTACTTGAAAGTAAACTCAGAGTAGATAAAATTTTTCAATTTTTTCCTATTATCCCTTACAATTATTTGAATAGTTAGTTGTAGAATTCTAGGAACTACAAGCACATATAAAAACTTAGACTTTAATCTAATTTTTGGTGAAGAACACTTATTAGGAAACATTTAAACAATAGTAATATAAAGTGGAACACCCCATTCAAACAGAAAAGCTTATTTCAGGTAGACTGCAAGTTTAGTTCTATGTATTCCCTTAAGAAATGTAATTCCAAGATTTGCTTCATCTGCTATTGTGAGGGATTTTACAGTAAAATTACTTTTTAGAAGAATCAGCTAATTTAAAAGCTCATTTAAAATCCAGGGTCAAATAATTACCATTTTTCATAGCATCCGTAGCTGACAAAAAGTAATAAGCCTTAATTCTACTAACTTACTGTTCTCAGTAATACTGACTAGTTTTTCACAAAGTAAAGGATGTTTTTCTGGGACTCCACTTCTCCAGGTTGACCACATTACTGCAAATTCTGACTTCTAAATGTTTTAACCACTTTTAAAACTACATTTTAAAACCTTATCATACTTGGAAATTTATGGGTACATACCATTTAACTTTTTTTTTTGTTTTGTTTTGTTTTGTTTTTCTCCGGTACTGGGAACCGAACTCACGACCTTGCGCTTGCCAGGCAGGCGCTTTGCCGCTAAGCTAAATCCCCAGCCCCGGGTACATACCATTTGATTTCTGCTTTTAAAAGCAATGTGTTCACCCACTGTTGTACAGAAATTAAGAAATATTTTAGATAGGACCAAACAACAGCCCAAGAAAATATTTTTAAAACAGCCAACTAAATACTATCTTGCTGTTAGTTCACACTGGGTTTTGTCTTCTATATACAAAATAAAAACTCTTCTATAAACCCTATATTACACATAAACTCTTCTCTATCTTAGTAGAGACAAAAATAAGCTATTTCCAGAGATACAGGATATGTCTGCTTTTGTACTATTGACCATCAATATTCAGAAGCATATAGATAACAGACTTTATTTATTCATTTATTTTGGTAACAGACTTTATTTAAATTAGTTTTATACTACTGGATTGTTCCTTTGGTGTAGAAGCTTAGATAGCGCAAGTGTATACGAGAAGTCTCAAAAAATACATTATATGCAACACTATACTTTTTTTTGTTTTTGTTTTTGTTTTTGTTTTTCTCTGGTACCGGGAACCGAACTCACGACCTTGCGCTTGCCAGGCAGGCACTTTTGCCACTGAGCTAAATCCCCAGCCCCCACAACACTATACATTTTAATATCTCTTATGTAACAAGAAGTTTCAATGTTCTACGACAATCTACCTAAAAAATGAGTTTTAAAGATAACCTTTGGTTTCAGCACTGAGCTAGAAGATTTGTTCTGAGATGTTTAATATTCTTTAAAAAGGACACTGCTGTAGTTTGGATCTGTAATGTCTTCTAAGCACTGTGCCATAGGCATACTTAGTGGGAGACAGTGCAAACTTCCAGACTTAGGTCACTAGGGCTGTGCCCTGGAACAGATTAGGACCCATCTGTCTTTGCTTCCTGACTGCCATGAAGTGAGCAGCTCTCCTTCGCCAGGCACTCCCGCCATGATGTACAATGCTGCAGGACCAAAGCAAGAGAGCTGAGTGACTACAGACACAGTCTGAGCAACAATAAACCTCTCCTCCTTTCAAGCTGATCATCTCAGAGACTGTTTCACAGCCACAGAAAGCTAACACACATATTAATAAGGAACTAAGGAAAATGTAAAAAAACGACATTTATGATCCATAGTTTTGGTGTGTTATGAACCAGCAATGATGATTAACTCAATTCTGTGAATCTAAGTTTCATCCCCCAAAAAGTTTATTATAAATTGAATCATTGTTTAAAAGGAGAATTAAAACAACTTAGAAGTATTTTAACTGTGGTAATAAAAGTATGAATTTTTAAATCCTTACCATCCTTTATAGTTTCTTTTGTTAAGCTTCTCCCAAAGTGCTGGTTTTGTGTCTCATAGCTATCAGAATGAACATGATAAACCTGTCAAAAAAAAAAAAGCAGTGAAAAAAAAAGAATACTCTTCAAACATCTAGGTTTTAACCCATAAGTCATTCTACTAGATTTGAAAAGAAAAAAAATGTATCAATGAATGCTGAAAAGCATTTAAAAATTTAACACCCCTATTGATGAAATTCTTTATAAGGAGAACTATTTCCAATATAATAAAATTATCTCAATGCACCAAAAATTAACCTTGAAATTTAAAGGGTAAATAAAAAAGAACTTCTTTTAAAATACAGAAAGTCTTCACAGAAAATATACTACCAGTGTCTTTATTACTTAATACTGTTTGGAATTACTAGCAAATGCAAATGAATGAGAAAAACATATTAGAGGTATAATCATTTTGAAATAAAATTGGCAGTGGTAGGTAAGAATAAATAAGCAGAAAACAATCATAATATATCATACATATAATCATATACACATATAAATAACAGGTTAGACGATATAATGGAAGAAAAGATCCTACTTACAAATGAAACCAAAAAAATTTAGAAATAAACTAAGTAAATAAATAAAAGACCTACATAAAAACATTTCTAAGATACACACCCATGTTCTTCAAGAGTCAACATCATGAAACACATCAATTCTACTTAAGTTAACCTACAACTATAATGATATTATGACAAAATCACCAACAATGTTATAGCCATATGAGCTAATTCTAAAGTTCACACAGAGAACAAGGTATGATGGTGCAGCTCTATAGATCCACCCATGCTAGAGGCTGAGAAACAGCAATCACTTGAGCACAGGAATTTAAGGCCAGCCTGGGCAACATAATAAGGCCCTAACCTCAAAACAGATAAAGAAAAGGAAAAAAAAAGAGAGAAAAAAGTTCACACAGAAAATAACAACCAGGAAAAACCAAAGTAAGATTAGAAAGGCAGGTTAACTTTATCATGTTACCAAATACTGAAACATTTTATAATAAGATATGTACAGCAATTCAGTACATGATAACACAATTTTAAATGAGTGGGCAAGGATGGATTGTTTATGACATGGCATAGTCTAATGGTAACAACCTGGGTGGAGGCATATTTATACCTTACACAGTATGCCAGGATAAATTCCACATACACAAAAGAAGTACAGAAGCCACCTTCTAAAAACATGGAAAAAAAATCCTGAATAACTAATAATTAGGGAAAACATTTACAAACCCAAATCCAGAAGCTTCCATCCCAAACAGTGTTCTAAATGTTCAGTATTTTACCAAGTAGAAATCAAATACAAACACAGAAAAATGACTTGAAATTTATATGATGAATATAGGGCACTTGTCTGCACTTAAGGAAAAAAGATGCAAGTATCCATAGAGTTTGTAGAAACCACATAGGTCTAAAATCTACCAGAAGCACAGTCCTTTCCCTCTTATTGTGACAACCAAAAATGCCTCTAAATGTCTCTCTGGAGAGCAAAATCATTTCCTGGTTGAAAGCCACGGTATTGTATCAGTCTACCATATTGCCTGATACACCATCGAAATTACAAATATACATAAGCACAGCAATTCCCCTCTCGGGCTTTATCCCAAGGACACGGAGCACACTAGTAGAATGAGGTAGCTCTATGGCTATTCACTGTAACATTACCTGAAATAGCAAGTCTGGAAACTATCAAAGAGCACTGCTTAAGTTACGGTATAAAACTATGCCACTATAGAAAGCTTTCCAGAATATGTTAAATGGGGGAAAAGAGCAAGAAACAACAGTGTTCAAAGATTTTATAATAACAGAACACATTTATGCCATATTTTGTGTCTGTTTAATATATCTCTGAAGGGATACACTGGGGGTGGGGTGGGGAGGGAAACAAGATGATACTATCAATGGAAAAAAGCACTTCATAAATACCAAAGATTACCTTTGATTCCAGGACACAGTATTTTATAAGAACCACTGAGCACATCTAAAACATTTTAAAAACTCCCTTCTATATTATACATGAATATTTTTAAAAGAAGATTCTAGGACTGAGAAGGTAGCTCAGTGGTATATACTTAGCATTAGTGAGGTCTTGGATTTGATTTCCTATGTCACAAAAAATACATAAAAATAAAACAAAGGCAGATTCTAAAAGCAAACTTGTCACCATTTTATTATTCAGAAGTGTATTTATTATCTGAGCCAAATTAAATATAGGAACCTAAATTTCACATATATAATAAAAGTGAAAACAGTTTCAGCTTACTGACCTTCTCTTACTGTGTTTATTCTACTTTACACAAACTAGAATGAAGAGATTTTCTACAAAGTTGCACTGCCAGCCTGAAAACATGTACTATGTAGCAAGAGAGAAAAAAAAAAAAAAAAAAAAAAAAAAAAACTAAAAGACAAAAAATCACTGAAACACATGCTAAGGAGCACAGAATGCTGAGCAGAAGAGAAAGCTCCAGCTCTTCCTTGCCACTACTTCACCATCTGAATTGCTTCTTTCCTGTGAAATTATGTTAGGAGCAAAGAAATTCAAACATCTTCAGTGAAACACATTTCACATTAAATCATTTTATGGGAAAAATAAATCTGAAATGTTACTGTCCCTCACTTTAAAAACAAGAACACAAAGAATCAATTGTTAAGACAGTGTAATTGACTTTCACAAATCAAAAGATTAGTTTCTTTCTCCTTAAATAATTGGAATCAGTGATAAAGAAAAGGTAACTTCTCTCCAAAGGGTATTCTTTGGTCAAAAACCAAGTTATTCATCAGTCAATTTAAGTCATTCCAAAGTACACTACAGTATCTAAAATGAAATCACCTAAAATCTTGAATTACATGTCTTGGAAAAACTTTCAGCAAATTTCTACAAACTGTAATTTAATTACTTTTAGTAAACAAATATAATAAATCTCTATAATTGCATGTCTCTTGCATAACAAAACCAGAAAATGAACAACCATGAACATAACAGTTACCCTGAAGGGACATTTTAAAATACTCAATTCCAAGTGAACCACTGATACACTAACTCTCCTAAGTCCAATACCTTAAGACAACATCATTACAGATTCCCACTCAGGGAATACCCCAGTCACCTTACATTACCTCCCAACTGTTTAACAGTATGTTCCACTGCTTGTTTTTTTACCTATTATCTCTTGCCAAAAATTCAAAAATTCATCTTTTCCAAAATCCTCCCCCTCTTCTTTTGACTCCATTGGTCTTATGGGCCCTATTTTGTCTGTACTTCTTTTACAGCACATATCTCAAAAAACTTTGTTATTAATGGTGAGCCTAATTAATTTATACCATCTTGGGATCAGGTAAACAGCGGATAACTGCTTAAAGACATTTAAAAATAAAAAATTCCTAACCTAGCCCAATTTATGCAACATACCAAACCTGTTCTACTACTGGTTAACCATGATTAACAGAAAATACTTGAAAACTGGTATTTTTAGTAAACTTCACAATCTATTCAGGAGATTTCAAGGGGTAGCTTATTTTAAAACTTGACTGTTCTAGAAGACAATTTTCAAGATTTGTTAAGATTAATTCAAAAATTATCCAAATTTATTATTACCAGTTTAAAAGCCCACTGTGTCTTAAAAACCTCAGTGAACTTCCCACCAAGTAAAGAAATAAACTATTTAAAAATTAATCTTGGGGTTGGGGATTTAGCTCAGAGGCACACCGCCTGCCTGGCAAGTGCAAGGTTGTGAGTTCGATTTCCGGTACCAGAAAAAAAAAACAAAAACAAAAAATTAATCTTTTTTTAATTTTAAAAATTAAAATCTGACAAAACAACAATGAAGACATAATCAAAACAACACAAAAACAACCAAATGATACACGACCTCAAAACAAAATGATGGGAATTAACAATGGTTGCTACCTTACATACTGCTATCTTCAATGAAGTTGCTCAGTCCACTAGACATAAGAATGTAAGCTTGATCAAACAATCAAACACAGTAACAAGTTAAAAATAAAATAAAATAAAATAAAAAACATTGGAAATACAACTCCTATTAAGTTTCATGGTTTATCCTTAGTTTCAATATCCTCGAATCATGTAATTAAATGTATATTCACACTGTCACTTTCATTTGTCATTTCACAAAAATTCTACCAGGTAAGTGCATAATGTGTAATTATAAACTGTCATGTATCACATAAAGAAACATAAAAACTCTAGTAACCCATTTATATTTCTGTAGTGCTAGAGACTAAATTCAGGGTCTCACTTAAGCTAAGCATATGCTCTACCACTGAGCTACAGCCCCACAAGTAGAGCAACTCAAATTGATCTATAGACCCAAGCTCAAGTCCTGCCAAAATCCCAAAATTCCAAAAAGAAGAACAGAGTTGCAGAATCTACAATTCAAAACTTATTCCAAAGCTACATTAATCAAGACAGTACGGTATGTGTATGGAGAAAATGGGACCCTCATATATTTCCAGTAGAATATAAAACGGTACAACTGTTTTGAAAAACACTGTAGTAGCTTTATAAAAAGTTAAACAATGTAACCATAGGATATGCAAATTTCTCACTTAGCTACCAAAAAAGAAATAAAAATACCCATTTACACATAAATTTATACAAAAGTATTCATAACTGTATTAATAATAGCCAAAAAGGGGAAACAACACAAACTCCACCAGTGAATGGTTAAATAAAATAGGATACATCCATATAGAATATTCAACAATAAAAAAGAACAAAATACTGAAGTATCTACAATATAGATGAACTTTGAGATTATTAAGCTGACTAAAAGAACCCAGTTATGAAACACCACATTTTGTAACGTATGATTTCATTTACACAAGATATTCGGAAGAGACAAATCTACGGCAAAGTCTGGGTAGGCATGGGGGTATGAAAGAAATGAAAGTGCTTGTATATGCAAAGCTTCTTTGAAGAGTTGATTTAAAAAATGGTGAATGTGAAGCTGGGCATGGGGTTGAGTGGCTGATGAAGTTCAAGCCCAGCCTAGGCAACTCAGCAAGACTGTAACTCAA